AACACTTTCAATGTGATTTGGAACTGCTTAGTGCTTGTCCAGATTTTTGAAAAATTCTTACAAAATATAATTGTTGGGGGTCTTTCATATCGTATGAAAGTGCATGAAGGGATTCGTAGGTCGATCTCACCAGAAGAGGGTGGTTAAATCCCGTTGTACTGCAGCCGTTTGACTTTTACACGATGTTCGGGTTGACATAGTCCATGAAACATCCTCCCTCGTTTCGGATGTAAACGGGCTGAGCTTTTGTCCATCATATGATGGACATCATCAGAGCTGTAACTCATTCTTGTAAAAGAATCACGTTAAGACTAGGTGATAATGCCCACCATATGATAGAACAAGGCTCAATCAGCTCTTACCCGAAGCGACGGAGGATATTTCGTGGACTGCGTCGACCTGAACGTCGTATAAAAGCCAAACGGCTGCAGTACAATGGGAATCTCCCGTCCTCTTCTGGTGAGATCGACCTACGAATCTCTTTTTCTTGCACTTTCACACAAAATGAGTCTCCCTAACAATGTTATCTCAAGATAATCATCGAAACACTCTTCGTATCTAGCAAATATAAGTTTGCGCGATCCAAAATCCCATTACGCATGGGATTAAGAAGAGGCCTGGCTTGAAACTATACACGCAATCCGATTTTAAATCCCATTAAGGTCGCTACTGAGACCCAGGCGAGGATGAAACTGCACTTTATCCTGCGTTAGAATGTCTTTTGAGACATTGTTAACAGAGCTCCAATGATATCGTGAAGCCCATTCATTTAATCGTGGTAAGCTTATTTACGTCCCTCGCATCATCTTAAATTATCTGGGGCGACCTAAGTTCGTATTCAAGATATACTTATGGTCTCGAAGCATTTTTACTGAGTATATATAATTTCAGTTGTTTGTACAAACGATTTCTTCCTATAGTTGTGCATATCAACACGTATAAATTCGCTTTCTAAACAATCTGGTAGTTTCCTAGTTAATTAGGTATATATATCTATCCCCGCATTGCAGTCCGAATACACCATTCCAATCAATCGGAAGCCGGATTTGCCTCGTATTTGTGTTCTCAGAAGTTTCGTTGGGTCCCAGAGCACAGGAAGACCGCAATCCCCCAGGGCTAAAGCTCAAGCCAATTCATGCGTGTTTAAACGTAGATACGAATATTAAGATATTGTGCACTATTTTGGTCGCAATCTCTTTTCGACGTATACTAGTTGTTTGGCCTTGTTTTCGCAACTTGGTCATATTGGCAAGAGGACCTAGAGGAATGGACCTTATCCGGAGTGCATAGTATGCATGATAATATCTAACGCCGTCTGGGGATGTACCAAGTTCGGGGTCTGACTCTGGAGATTATCATGCATACTATGGACTCCGGATAAGGTCCATTCCTCTAGGTCCTCTTGCCAATATGACCAAGTTGCGAAAACAAAGTCAAACAACTACTAGACAACGTATTTAGTTCCATATACCTTAAGTGGTTTGTAACGCACCGGGACTGAATTTATAGCTAACGCAAAGTTTCTGTGTTCTATTTCTACGCAGCATACCACTCCGGTTCTTTTTTCATAACCCTCACTTTCATTTTTGTCCGCCCCAAAACAAGCTTGAATACACAAACTTTTCTGCTTTCCCGGTACTTAGCTCTCTAAATCTATATGCCTTGTTCGCTAAATTCTTCTATCCACCATCATGGCATTCATCCTCAGGCCCCCCGCACAGTTCTACCATTAGTGACAATATGCACACAAAATCTCACTCTAGTTACACACTAGAAACCCTCATTTATGGAGACCATTTTAAATCATATTTTTTTAAAGTGAGATTCGAGAAAACCTTTAGTAACTTAATCTGCCTTCCTTTTTCATTCCGAATGAAAATTCGGCAGGAAGGGATTTGCTAATTGCCGAAGTAGAATTGCCTCATGGTGAAGGGTATTGGATCGTGTGAAGCACTCAGCTCATCGTCCTGCAATTATGATGACTGCGATAATCTTTCATCTGTCATGCAAGAAATATCGTCTGAGCAATAAACTACAGTTTGCGAAATGCAGTACTAATATATTAAACCGAAATCAAATGTGACCAACTGCAAACCTACCCATTTCTACCATTAAAATTTTTTAATTTTTATCGAGAGTTAATTAATACATAAACTGGAAGTGGATGTGGTCAGAGATGTTCCCTTACCTAAATAAACTAGCATTTGATCCTGTCTCCTTAATGTGTCGTTCTTCTCTCTCTTTGGAGCTGACTGTAGATTTGTGGGAATAGGCCCTCTGCTAAACCCAAATCTATCTATCAGTCTAGGCAGGTAAACTAGTACTGTTATCTCTCGCAAAGAAATAAGCATGGCTCACGACGCCATTGAATTTTACACAGCTTTGGCACTCAAAGGGTATTATCATAAAAAATGACCAGTTTCAGGCTCACATGGATCTCGCCAGTGCCACAAAGGCAATGAATAATGAGTATGGAGATAATTTGACCTAGTCATTGCGACTTGGTCGTGTTATCAAAGGGACTTGGGTGGACGCACTTTGTCCGGATTCATTTGCTATACTAGTTATGATGATTTCCAGCGTAGGATTGTTTGTTTGGTACAGTCCCAGACGTTTCGCAGGTGTCATCAGTGACCCTTACCAGTCTTAGCACCAAATAACAGCTAGTAAAAAAGAAATCCATTACTTGACTTATTTTCTGCTGAATAGCTGTTATATCCCTCCTGTCCTGATATATTTAATTGCCC